AGGTATGTTCATTAACTTATTCCACAAAACCACAATAAACAGCAATGAAGTATGTTCATTAACTTATTACACAAAACCACAATAAACAGCAATGAGGTATGTTTATTATCTTAAAAAAACAACTAACAATTGGTTTTCATCTATACATAATACACCAACAACTGAAGCAATTAAAAGAATTTCCAGGAAATAAACGATTCTTATAGAAAATTAAAATTAGCCTTTATAGAAAAGCAACAAGATACGTTAATTTAACCTCAAATAAAAACTAATTTGAATATTCATTATCAAGGGATAAAAACAGCAAGTCATACAAAGTGATTAAAGTTACTTTTTTGAATTTATATAAAAAACAACATCAATAGAGAATCCTCAATACTCGCGCCACTTGAAATTCTTTTAGGCAGGATTACAATAAATTAACCAATGAGACTTCTTTTCCCCTTTTTATTGGCTATATTTTTGTGCCAGCAATACCGAGCGTGGGGCTGGCGTATTATATCAGATTCGATCTAATTACTCATCACGAATTCTACCAGCCTACCCTCAAATTGAAATTATTTTCGGCAGGATTGAAATAAATTAATCTATCAGACCCTGGACGTGGTCGAATACACCAATCGAAGGGTTGGACCTTCTTAGTCCAAAACTGCAATTATATATCGAATAGGTCAAGAGATTACGGAGCTATGAGCAAAAAAAAAAAGAAAGAAAAAAGACATTCTACGAGCCGTTATGTTGCGGCTAAAAACACGTTCTTAAAGTTCTAGAATATAGTAAAGATAATACAATAAATAATGGCTAAGTTATAAACATAACACAGAATATAGTAAAGATAATACAGTAAATAATGGCTAAGTTATAAACACAACATAGAATGTAGTAAAGATAATACAATAAATAATGGCTAAGTTATAAACACAACACAGAATGTAGTAAAGATAATACAATAAATAATGGCTAAGTTATAAACACAACACAGAATGTAGTAAAGATAATACAATAAATAATGGCTAAGTTATAAACACAACACAGAATGTAGTAAAGATAATACAGTAAATAATGGCTAAGTTATAAACACAACATAGAATGTAGTAAAGATAATACAATAAATAATGGCTAAGTTATAAATTCTTAACCATTGTTTAACCCCAACACACCAGGTTATCGTTATTTATTTTTTTATGATATCATACAAGCAACTCGTACTTATAAGGCTGTTGGTGGTATGGAAAGTGTTTTACGATATATTCGGATTCGTTCACATTATTTGCTTACCGTATCCCTGTTGGTACAATACGAAGTGCAACGGACTCCAAAAATATTCACTTATTAAAGGTTGAAGTGGGTTTTGTTTGTACAATCTGTTTGATCACCAAATACACATCCTATTAAAAAGCGCGCTCCAAAAACAACTTTTAAACCCGTTATACATTGGCCGAAGCGATCAGGAATAGGCCTGAACATATCCTTACTCTCCAAGGTCGCGCACAACGACCGAATACCTATCCAGTCACAGCAGCAGCGATCACTTGAAGCGCGATTTCTCAGTCGCCTCCGGTAATATATGATACTGCGATATGCGATTTTATAGAATCGCCGATCGATTTCATTCGCCTTCGGTAATATGATACTGCGATTTTACAGAATCGCCGATCGATTTCAGTGGCTTCCAGTAATATGATACTGCGATTTTACAGAATCGCCGATCGATTTCTGTCGCCTCCAGTAATATGACACTGCGATATGCGATTTTACAGAATCGCCGATCGATTTCAGTGGCCTCCGATAATATACGATACTGCGATATTCGATTGTACAGAATCGCCGACCGATTTCAGTCGCCTCCGGTAATATGATACTGCGATATGCGATTTTTACAGAATCGCCGATCGATTTCAGTCGCCTCCGAAAGTTTTTTTAATGTTTAATATCTCTCCGTCTAGTGTGTGATACTCACTAGAAGGTCTCAAACTCAGCAACAATTAATTTAACGCGTTAGGTCATGTGACTGACTCTTTTGTTCTGGGGGGGGGGTAGTCATTGGATAAATAGTATATTCTTTTTCAAATGTTTAACAACGCCCTCTTTACGAAACTTCATTCAAATATACTACAACGATAAAGAAATTAAGGCCACCACCATAAACTTACGCTTTCGCCTATTAATTCCCGCCATTTGCCTCACAAAAACTGTTAGTCCCTTCGAGCGATTGTCCACTACTCTAGACTTGCTGACCTGGCAACACTCAAATTATATAAAAGATAACCTTCCACTGCTCTCCAGGAGATCAATCCGAGTTTAAGTCAACTTTTAATTTCCACTTCACTTTTCTTCGTTTCCACTTCCAAGAGTCAAATGATTACCGCTTTCCGACAAAGTTATTTCTTCGCATCTAGCGACACTTCACTTTTCTTCGTTTCCACTTCCAAGAGTCAAATGATTACAGCTTTCCGACAAAGTTATTTCTTCGCATCTTGCGACACTTCACTTTTCTTCGTTTCCACTTCCAAGAGTCAAATGATTACAGCTTTCCGACAAAGTTATTTCTTCGCATCTACCGACACGACGTTCTAAGAGCTAAACTCACCGTTTCGTAACCCAGGTATGTCAATAATATTGTAGCATTGCGTTAAATTTAGTATTCAGAGTTACTATTTGATGATGACATTAAAGATTTCACCAGATAACTTAAAAATAACCCCCAACGTTGACACAAACATACTCATAACTTCGCATTATTTAATGAGATTATTTTTTTAAATTGTTTTTAAAGAAAGATCACGATAATCGTGTAATTAAGTTGACATTCTTAAGAAACATACTGTCTGAAAATAGCCATTATTGACGCGTTGCTTTTAATAGAACGTATTGTTTATGTTCCCAGTTTAGAATATCAAGCTATTTTTAGCAACAATCATCCAAAAATATTAGTAGAGCTGTTTCTAAACCACGTGGAAGATTGGAGACGCATTTTAATTGAGAAACTTATTATATTCAATCAAAGCACGTTAAAAATGCTTACTAATTACACAATCTTAATCATAGGCATATAAATAGGATGGTGTAATTAGGATAAATATGATAATCGGTTTATATTTATAACAATGCATGATGAACAAACAACTTGTGATATTTTAACAAAACAAAGGTTACGTGTTATCCAAGCACTAATTAAACTTATATATAAACTTGCAATCGAATGTCAGCAAAGTTATTTATTTTTAGAATATACAACCGAGTAGATTCTGTTTGAATACGCCATTTCCGGTTACGTTCTGTTGGGATACGTCATTTCCTGTTCACAGTATGTCACTGCTCTTTTGTTTGGAATATATTGTTACGTCTCCGTTTGTTAATTGATTTTTTCCGTAACTTCGTTCCGACGAAACTTTAACGACATAAGTCCTTACTTAATAAAACAATACGTCTCACTCTGACTGCAGTTCAATTACTCATTACCTACACACACATTATTGCGTCACGTTGTCACCCTCTTATATACATACCAGACTACCCTATCTAGTAAATGCTAGGGCATTCATGAAGGAACAAGATAGTTCTAGAAACTAGAGGGCGTGAGAATCACATGATCTCGATGACGCAACAATATCTTAGATTTTTCTATCGGCGTGTAAGCGAAAGTTCGTTAGTTGTTAGAACGACGTAACAATATATAACGATGCAGGTAAGGAAAGTAATGTGTTTTGTTTTGTTTTTTATACAGGGAATTTC